CTGTTCCTTATTATGTCTGTGGAGTGTCCTTGTATCGGGATGTCCAGGTGCCATCTTGGCACAAGTTCCTCTTATTAGCACTTATGTGTGGATGCACTTGCTGCTAAGAACCCTCTTCTCGCCAACTTCTGTGAGTGAGGCCTGCCTCTGGCTAACAGCTTTTGCTTAGCAATGCCTGGAAGTACTTTGGTTCAGGCTTCAGGCCTCAGGCCTCAGGCCTCAGACTGGGCCCCTGACACAAGAGGTTATGTTTCAGGGCCTCATCTTACTACAGATGCAAGTTTTATTGGTGTACAGCAACCAAAGTTAGTATATCGCTTGTTTGCATGCATACATGGCTGCTTTCATCAGCAATGCACATGTTCACCAGGATTTCTTGTGTTGATGCAAATGCGATGCACCATGAATAGGTATCCCAGGGTGCCACATGCTGCCATCTGGCACAATGCCTTTTGGGAAATTTTCACAATGCATTGCAGTGCATAGAAATGAGTCACCTAGGGAGCTAGGGGTCAAATTCCCAGCACGCAACATTCTCCATCCCATAGTGACATCCACATCCCATAATTTTTGTCCTAGGGGACTCAGCCTACCCCTTACTCTCCTGGCTCATGAAGCCATACACTGGCCATCTTGACAGCACCAAGGAAAGATTAAACTATTGGATCAGTAGGTGCAGAGTGACAATTGAATGTGTTTTTGATAGATTGATGGGATGCTGGCAGTGGTGACTCACAATACTGGATCTCAGTGAGAAAAATATTCCAATGGTTATAGCTGCCTGTTGTATCCTACATAATATCTGTGGCTATGTCCACAGTGCACACCATTTGCAGTGGCATGGTGGGTATGTTTACCTACAGGCGACAGTAAAAAGAAAGCTGCGTCCTCACTGTGGCACGAAGCTACAAGTGTCAGTGAAAGTCTGTGTCAGGAGGGAACTGCCCTTCCCCACTGCCAGACTCTTTCCCTGTAGCATAGAAATACTCCAGCAGTTTTCTGTGGTGGGGAAAGTCTCTGGCAGCCAGGAGCTGTTGGAAACTTTCCTCCCTGCCGGAGTCTCTCCCTGCAATGGGGAAAGACACCAGCAACAGGACACTATCCTGCTAAAAACAGCAGTGTACAAAGGGGAAGCATTGGTTGGGCATGTAGAGTAGATATATATACCTGAGTAGATACCCACAGGGTTCAGGCATGTCTTTACTCACCTAAGCAGTGCCTGCCCCACCATCTACTCTGTACAAGGGGGACATGTACTCTACACACCACAGAAAGAAGCGTGCAGGGTAGACATATCTTGTGAGGCAAAGGGGGAAAAGCTGCCACCAAGATGGAGGGCAGAGGTGGAACAGCTGTCTGCTGACTTTGAACAGACAGACACAAGGGTCATTACAAGCACTAATGTGGAGCTATGCAGTTGAGGGACACTTTGAAAAGAACACTTTAATGGTCAGCCACAGGGTGCTGTGTGCTGGACTGCTCTCTGGTCCTGACACTCTGGGTACTGTTAGGAATTGCATAGTGCTTGCTACACATTTATAACTACTGAAGCTATGAATTAATCAGTCCTGGCTTTACTGTTATACATACAACTGGGTGTTTTGAACCTATGAGTTAGGTGGTGCTGTACATTTGAGTGATCTGAGTACTGCAATGCATTCTGAAATATGTGTTGTGAACTAACAAAGAAGTGGCTCAGCACCAGATTGATTATGGTATGCCTTGCACAGTTCCTTTGTTTCACGTGGCACTGCTACTCATCCCCATTGTACCCCTTTGCCTGCATCCCCTGTGCAATCTGTTTGTAGATGTTCACATTTCTATGGCTTGTCTATAGTTGTGTGTGCATAGCCTCTTCACCATACAGGCCCAGGAGATCTAATACCACCTGTCTACTCCATGCAGGAGTGCATTCTGTGGATGGAGCCGGCATGGTCAATTAGACCAACAAGGGAGAGCTGCTAAGTATTCTTGCAAAGCTGGACAAACAGAAAAAAGCATTTAAAAAATACATCGAGTGTTTTTAAGGGGGAGGCAGGCATGGCTTTGGTCTGTATGACCCTGGGCACTGCAGTCTACAATTATGACCAGAGGGGTAAGCTGCTAGATGACTGTTAGGGTCGACACAAGTCACCAGTATCTACATTTGTAGTGTTAACCTCAGCAGGTCAACCACGGCTCCATGCCATTTGGGATGTGGTTTCACTGCACGCTTATCTGGGCTGGAGACAAATCTAAATGTTTTGGGTGGTAGATATCGTAGGCAGGGGTAGGTTGTGCCTTCCCAAACAGCCTAGCGTGGCCCCGCCCACAGCACTCTACCTTGGCTGGCCCAGGCTGGCTGACCTGCCTCCCTGCCTATCTTTAAGGCTTTAGGGTTCACACAGAGAGAGGTGACACACACACCCTAACCTAGGGTTACCATACGTCTGGATTTTCCCGGACATATCTGGCTTTTTGGTCCTCAAATCCCCGTCTGAGAGGAATTTCCAAAAAGTCGGACATGTCCAGGAAAATAGGGAGGCATGGTAAGGGGACCGCCTCCTCCCCGGGCTCCAACTTTCCCGGCTCCCGCCGCTCTCCATTGCGCGCCGGGGCCGAAGCAACTTCCCCAGCGCAGCAGCAGCTGGGGGGCGGGAGGGAGGAGGGGGAATGCGGGGTGCTCAGGGGAGGGGGCAGAGTTGGGGAGAGGCCGGAGAAGGGTCGGAGTTGAGGCGGGGCCGGGGCCCCGGGGAGTGTCCTCTTTTTGCAGTATTGAAATATGGTAACCCTACCCTAACCTCCCCACCCCCCTCCCCCACACAGGGAGGGATGACACACACACACTCCTGTACACCTCTCTCATGGGGCCAGGGATTTGTGTGTGACCAACTGACCTGACCCTCCCTGCCCGGCGCTCTCCGCCCTCCATGCCTGGCTGGACCCCGGGATGAACCCGCCTCTCCTGGTGCCTGCCACCGTGTCTTGCTGAGGCAACACATGGGATGGAGGATGCAGGGTCACATGCCCCCCCCTCAATTTCTGCCAGTGTTCACGCCAGAATGTGGCCAGCAGCAGCCTTTCAGTACTGTGCAGGAGGGAAGGGAAGGGAGCTGCTTCCAGCTGCAGGGGAGCAGGGGGAAGGGATGACCTGGCCTGTGTCTTTGCAGAGCTCAACTCTTCCGTACCCCCCACCACTCCCATGTGGCTGGAAGCAGCTTGTCTGTTTCTGCCCGCACAGTGTCGAAAGGCAGCTAACACTTCTATGCTGCTGCTGGCCACCAACATAACCCAGCCACCTCCTGTCCCTGGCTACAGTGTGGGCAGGAAGGGGTTAAGCCCTAAGGATGCATTGTGCACCAGGGTCCAGGGAACCTGACTGCGGGGGCTTCAGCGAACCCAGCCAGAGAGGTGGCTCAGCAGAGGAGGGTGCCTAGGGGGCAGAGGTGTGTGTGTGTAAAAGAAGGTGCTAAGCCCTGCCCTCCCTAAGGTTGTGGAGCCTGCAGTTTTGGGCAGTGAACCGGCTGGAAATCGCTTCCCCTTCCCACCCACCCTGCCACTCCAGAGCTTGGCTGAGGGGCGGAGCAGCTTCCCCATGCCAGTACTGTGTGTGGCTTTGGCACATGCAGGGCTCAGGTTGGGAGGGTGGTGAAGGGGCAAAGCAGGGAGAGGCCAGTGAGAGGTGAAGCACATAAAGAGCCAATGGGTGGGCAGCAGCAGTGACACATAACCGGCTGCTGCCTAGCGCCTGCCCACTCACCAGCCACTGCAGCTCACAAAACGCAGCCAGTGCCAGCCAGAAAAAGGACAGGGGGGCAGGGCCCTACTGGCGGAGAGCCAGCACAGGTCACAGCGGGGGCTGCGCTGACAGACCAGCAGGGGGAGCAGCCGGCCCTGCACACTGCATCTCCCCACACACACACCAGCCTTGCACACTCACCCCTATCGTCGGCCATGGGGACCCCCCCCACACACACACACTCACGACTTGTGGGTGGGCGGCTGGCGAGAAAGGATTCAGCCAGCAGCAGGACCCGCCAGTACTGATGGGGGGGGGAGCAGAAAATACAGAAAATACGGGACAATTTGCCTATTTTTAAGAAAAAGTTGGTACACATGCAGGAGATCTTAAATATGGGATTGTTTCTTTAAAAACGGGCAATCTGGTCCCCCTAGCCCAGGAGTTCTCAAACTGGGGGTCAGGACCCCTCAGGGAGTCACGAGGTTATTACATGGGGGGTCCGTGAGCTGTCAGCCTCCACCTTACACCCCGCTTTGCCTCCAGCATTTATAATGGTGTTAAATATATAAAAAAGTGTTTTTAATTTTGAAAAGGGGGGGGGTCGCACTCAGAGACTTGCTATGTGAAAAGGGTCACCAGTAAAAAAGTTTGAGAGCCACTGCCCTAGCCTCGCTCCAGGGTGATAGCCGTCCTATCAGTATGAAGTTGCTTTATGAGGGTGTAGCTTTCCCGGAGGGGACAGTGCTGGTGTCCCTGCTACCACACCAGGGCTTTCACTCACTGACTGGGATGAGAAAAATCACACCCAACAGAGGGCCACCTGGTGCAGGTCCTGGGCTCCCCCTCACTAGGAGGGGCTAAGGAACAACCCCTGGCAGAGGAAGGGGAGGAGGTTGTTGGGTGAGTTCAAACGAGACCGTCACACTCTCGCTCCCCACTAGCGGTGCGGCTTGAAGTAAGAATAACAAACACGAAATACACGGTTTCCATCAGCAGCACCCGCCCTGCAAACATTGTTCCAGCAGCAGCCCTGCTGAGCACTGCGTGATACGCGCCCGCACGCCCGGAGCCCTGCCTACGCCGCAGGAGCGCCTGTGGCAACAGCACAGCCCTTGCTCCACGGCCCCGTCCCTGCGCGCTGGCGGGCCGGGGGCTGCTCGCTCACGCTCCGCGACCGGCGCAGACAGCGCGCTCCCGGGGGCTGCCTTCCCTCCCCGCCCTCCCTGCCGTGGGACAGCCGAGCGCCCGAAGCCCCTCCCCCAACAGCCCGTCTCCAGGCAACAGCGGTGGGTAGCGTCACTTCCTCCTTCCTCGCACGGCCTCCCCCGCGGCCCTGGGGCTCCTGCGGGGCTCGGATTGTTGTGGCCGGGGCCGCCCGTGACACGTGGTGCCGTAGCCGCTGCTGCCGCCGGGGAAGCCCCGCTCGCTGGAGTGCGGGCAGCAGCATGGCCGCTCTGGCCGAGGCGGTGAGCAGCAGCGCGGGTTGCCCGGCGGCAGGCGGCAGCAGCAGCAGCAGCCGGCACGAGAAGAGCCTGGGGCTCCTCACCACCAAGTTCGTGTCGCTGCTGCAGGAGGCCAAGGACGGCGTGCTGGACCTGAAAGCGGTGCGTGCGCGGGGCGGGGCAGGGCCGGCTCTGCCTGGGCGGGGAGTAGTCGGGTCTGGAGGAAAGCCCCTGAGGGGATGGGGGCTACATGGGGGGTTCGGATCAGTAGGGGGTTCCTGGGCTAGGCTGGGATCTGGAAGGGGCTGAGGAGGGGGTGGTCGGACCTGTGTAGTATGCGGGCTGTGTGTGAATGTGAAGGAATGGTTGCTTGTCCCTGCGTGGGTGGGCCCACCTGTAAATGGGAGTGTCTCTGGGGGAGGACCCGGTGTGTGGGAGGGGTTCTCCCTGTGTGTGGTGGTTCTGGGTAGTCTTTGTAGTGGAGATGGACCAGGGTTGGGGTGGATGTGGAGCTGAACATCATTGGAGGGTGTAATATATTTTGGGATGTGGAGTCTGGAGCTGGTCTCTGTGTAGGGGGCCTAACATGGGAAAATACATGGGGGGGATCTGGAGCTGAAAGTGGCGTGTGTGTGTGTGAGAGAGAGAATAGACAGACTTCTTTCTCATGCTCTATTTCCCATAGTCCTATACAAACAATAACTCTCCCCCCCATTCACTTTCCAGGGAGAAACTAAAAGGTATTATGATTGAGAAAGGAGTCTTGGAGGGAAAGGGTTGCAGCTGGCAAAGCCTGAAACATGAGTAGGATCCTTTCCCAAGGGAGAGTGGAGTCCTGTCAGAGCATGAGTTTTCTTCCTTTCCAGTTCCCCTGCAGTGTAATGGGGCTGGCTTGTAAGTTGCCAAAGTCTGTGGAGCCCCAACCAGTGTCATGAATTACTTCTGACCGAGGCCAGCACAAGTTGCAAAAGAGAACCTTTTCTGCCTGAGAACCAAGCAGAGAGTAAAAGGGCCTATAAGAGTGTATCTGTGTCTGGAGGCAGAGAGGAATGGGGGCTGAATGGGGTTTGGAGAGGAGCGAGGCTAGGAGCAGAGGTGGTCTGGGTAGGGTGACCAGACAGCAAGTGTGAAAAATCAGGACAGTGGGTGGGGGGGTAATAGGAGCCTATGTAAGAAAAAGACCCCCAAACCAGGACTGTCCCTATAAAATTGGGACATCTGGTCACCCTAGTCTGGGGGCAGATGGGGATGGAAGCGTGGTGTTCCTTCCCTGACCCCAGTGGGCCCCCCCCGAACATTCCTCAGTGCCCTGTTAGGGGTGCGGCCGTGCCCCACAGTTTGGGGACCACTGGTATAATAAGGCTTGTGCTGGTCTGTACTTGTAAGGCTTTCTCTGTTGTACTGTTTATTTCAGGGATTGGATGGTCATTTTTTGACCAGCCAAGAGGTTTCAACTTTCCAAGAGACCAAAAGGCTCTCTTAATAGGTACAGAATGGAACAGATTGTAGACACCTTACCCCTGGGTGAGCACTAGTAGAGACAGTTCTCTGCATAAGGTGTAGTCCCAACTTAGCTCAAGAGGGCATGGTGAGGCCTCCTGCCAGATCATGATGAACTGGATCTCTAGTCTCCATAGTTTGGATCATGTTGTAGAGCTCTGGCCACTCTGGGTTTGTTTATGCATTACTAGTGCTTCTAACTTCCATTTTTAGAAAAAAGGCAATTTGTGTATCTCATTTGTTTTGGAGTTATTTTAATGGAAGCACTTGTGGGATGGCTGAAATTTAATCAGCAAATACTGATATAGCATTCAGAACTTGTGTGACTTAAACATATGTTCACAGAAACCTCAGAAAAGCAGTTATTGGCATCCTTTCTTCAGGAACTGAAGAAGGACTAAAGTTTCCTTACCTGTTTTCTATCTATGACTGACAGAGACACTGGAAAGTTTTGTGTAAAAGGAAGAGCCTATTCTGTACATTACATCCTCCATTGGAAATTGGGGAATGTAGTGTGATGCATTTTAATATTATGTTGTACTTGCAAACTCTGATTTTGCTGATAGAAAATGACTAGCTTTTGTTTTTTGCATTTGCACAGAAGAAAATCAGATGGCTTCCAGCTAATTCATTTAAAGATGTATTAACTTTTTAAAAGTAATATCCAAGATTACCTTAACTGAAACAGTTTAGTGAACGTTTTTTCCTTTTGGTTTGCTCACATTGTGCATTTGACAGCAATGTGTATTGTCACTTTCACTATCTCCCTACATAAACAGTTTTTTTCCTTGTTGAAAAGATCTTTAAATGTCCACAGGGGAGCAGAAAAACAGGTAATTTTAATAAACAAAAGGACTTTTAAACAATACAAAACAAAACTTTTCAGGACATACTATACTATTTCAATGGAGCTCAATCAGAAATGTAAAAATATTCAGTTTCAAAGTTGATAGTATCCTTTTAACTCATTTCAGCACTTGTTCAGGCTATAAATTATGAGCATCCCAAATTGAAGTGATTTTGAAATGGTGTGACATAAAGTAGTTGTCTTGACACCCAATCAGATGTATTCAACTAGTGACAGAGATCTCACATTTGGAGTTTGTCAGAGATCCTTGATTTAACTGTACCACAAAGAAGTTGTCTGTTGGGTGATGCTTTGGTGGCCAAGAGATTGTGTTTGGTGAGGTCTTTTAAACTGTTTAGTGTTTGAAGTTGCCTGGAGACTACTTACTGAAGAAAATCTTCACAGAAGGAAGAAGCAGGGTGTTCAGACATCAAATCTTGATTCCACTGAAGTCAGTAACAGAATTTTAGTGGAAGCAGGATTTATCCCTACAGCCAGGTGGGCACCCAAGAACTATTGATGATAGAAAATTCATATTACCTATAGATTAATCTCTTGAAAAAGGATGAATAATTTTGCCCAAACTGTCCTAATTACATAATTTATTTGCAACGTTGTTGTAGCCGTGTTGGCTCCAGGATATTAGAGGGACAAGGTCAGTGAGATAATATTTTTTTATTGGACCAACTTCTGTTGGTGAAAGAGACAAATTTTCGAGCTATGCAGTGTTCTCCTTCAGGATCTTTCACCAACAGAAATTGGTCCAATGAAAAAATATTACCTTACCCACTTTTTCTCTAATTAGGAAATAACATGTACAGTGAAAACGAATTTTGGCCAATTGACTGAGATCTCATGTACTGTTTTTAGTGCAAAATACAATAGAGGTTAGCTTGAAATTTTTGTGCTCCCATATAATTAATAATAAATACCATCTGTTCTTATTGGAGGAGAAAATATACTTTTTCTTTGTGTTTAGTATTGTGCATCAGCATTGGTATAGATTAGAAACGCTAATGACTAAAGTGGTGGGTCTGACATGAAAATGAAACTTTTCAAAGGAAGCTTGGAGGGAAGCCAGAATATATTAGGACTGTCCCAGATTGTACCACAGACTTCCTATGTGATCCTGAACAAATCAGTAAGCCTTTTTGTGCTTTAACTTTTTCATCTGTAAAATGAGCATAGAACATCCCTGCCTCGAGGGCTGCTGTGAAGTTTACTTTATCTGTCATGAACTTTGGTATCCTCTGAGACAGTTTGAGAAGTAGAAATTACAGTCAGTAATGATGGTTCCAGAGATGATGGAGCAAATGGAGATTTGTTTTGAACACTGTATATTTCCATTATGGCCCATAATGGCTCCCCAAAACTATTAGGGTTAATTTATTTAGTATTTATGATTCTCATCACCATAGTATCTAAGAGTTTGTCTACATATTAAAGTTATTCTAGAATAAAGTAGATTAGGAATTTAAAGCAGAATAACTATTTTGGCATAACTCCATGTGTGGACACTCTTATTCTTGAATAAGCGTGTCCACACATAGAGTTCTTCCACAGTAGATATCCTGAATAACTCCATGTGTAGACAAGTCCTGAGTTGTCTGTATGTTGTCCACTTTTTCATGGGTATGTAGGATCTCTCAGTGGCATGGTAGTATAGTAGTAGTGATGATTGATATTTAAAACTTTGTCTGTTTTTACCCAGAAAAGCAAAGAAAATTTGAGTGAAGAATGAAAATTAAGGCTCAGGTTTAAATCTTTCTGCTTCCTTCACTCCATCCTGGCAGGTTCTCTAGGTTTAAATCAGAAACTGTTTTCTTACATATTTTGTTTGCTGAGCTGTTAAGTATGCGTAGAAGATGGTGGTAAACTTTATTAAAACACAGTCTGTATGGAATAAATGTTTAGTACTTTCATGACCAATCAAACTGAACAACTGTTTAGCCCAATATCTACTGTAAAGCAGTTACACATGTCTCAATTAGGAAAGGTAGAAACCAAGTTGCATACCATAGCTACATTTTCAGGGAGTTACAGAATTTCTGTAGGCACATGGCTCATCAATTTTAGTTCCAGTAGCAGGCATCTTTATAAGGCCAGGGGTTCCGCATCTTAGAGAGACATTGCCTTGTGAAACACCTATCCTCCCATTCAAAATCACTTACCATTTCTGTAACACTTCTGGGACACCTACAGCAGTTGTTTACATGGAAAATAATACTTAGAAGGCATTAAATAAATGTGTTTTTAGCTTCCTGATTTAGCAGTAGAATATGAAGAGGAAGAGGAGCTGGCCATCTACCTGTAGTCCACTAGCAAGTGCCCTTGTGCTCCACGGACTAAAGCTTGAAAATCACTGTTAAAACAGGCTGTGGGATTATGATTTGGACATGTGATACTGCACAGTTGTTGTCTTGTCATTCTTTTTCCTTCTTCCATCCCCATTAGGTTCTGGTGCACTGTCCCATAAGTGGTCACCAGCAGCAGTTCTCTCTTTAGATGGCTCTGGATGCCTGTCATTGGCAATGGTTCTAGCATTAGACACGTACCTTGTTCTCATTTAGAGGGTGATGGACTGTGGGAGGAGAACTGGGAGCTTGTCTACACTTCAAAATTAATTTGGATTAAAGGAGGGTGTGAATTTAAAATGCAACAGTTATTTTTCAGTCGTTGCATGTGTGGACATTCTTATTCCAGAATAATGTCCATCCCCATCCATGTGGGTAGACAAGCCTGGTCAAGGAGATGAAATAAAATTATCAGTGAAGAAGTGAGAAGGGAAGAGATCAGAAAGATGAGGAGGGAAAGG